TCTGATAAAGGGCTAATATCCAAAAGATGTAAGGAGCTCACACAACTCATTAGCAAAAAAATGAATAACCCAAGTAATAAAAGGTCCAAATTACTTGAATGGACATTTCTCCAAAGAAGATATAAAACTAGCCAATAGGCATATGAAAAGGTGCTCAACACCAATAAATATCAGGGAAATGCAAATTAAAACCACAATGAGATATCATCTCATATCTATTAGGAATGGCTATAACCAAAAAGGTGAGAGATACCAAGTGTTGGTGAGCGTGTGGAAAAATTGGAATTCACATACACTGTTTGTAGGAATATGGACTGGTGCAGCCAATGTGGAAAACAGTATTGAGATTACCAAAGAAATTAAAAATAGAACTACCATATGATCAAGCAATCTTGGGTATACACCCAAAAGAAATGAAATAATAACCTTGTAAACATATCTGCACTCACATGTTCATTATAGCATTATCCAAAATGGCCAAGATATGGAGATATCCAAAATGTCCACTGATGATGAATGGATAAATATAAATGAATAAATATATACACATATATAAACACACATACACAAAAATGGATTATTATTTAGCCTTATAAAACGAGATACTATTATTTACAACAACATGGATGAACCCAGAAGTTATTATGCTAAGTGAAATAAAGCAGGTACAGAAAGAAAAACAGTACATGATCTCACTTATATGTGGAATCTAAAAAAAAATATATATATATATGTATATATATATCAAATACATAGAAAAGGAGCAGAATGGTGGTTACTGGGGCAATGGAGGGGTGGGGAGAATGAGGAGAGGTTGGTCTAAGTGTACAAAATTGTAGTTGAGTAGGATGAATAAGCCTACAGATCTAATGTACCACATGAGGACTATAGTTAACAAAACTGTATTATACACTGGAAATTTAGTTAGAGAATAGATTTTAGGTATTCTTAGCATACACACATATACCAAAAGAAAGGGAACTATGAGAGATGATGGGAATGCTAGTTTGCTTGACTGTAGTAGTTATTTTAATATGTATATCAAAACATCATGTTGTACAGCTTAAATTCATACAATAGAAAAATTTGGAAAAATAAAGTCAGTTGCTTTTCTATGTATTATCAAAGAATAAATGTAATCTGAAATAAAAATGTAATACCATTTCATTAACAAAAATGAAATACAAAATAAAATATATACAAGAGCTATATAAGGAAATATATATAAGGAATATATATAAGGAAATATATATAAGGAATTTTATTTCTCATGAAAAAAATCGAAGATTTAAGTAAAGGAAAAGACAATCCGCATTCACAGATAGATAGACTCACTATTGTTAAACTTAATGTATAGTTTCAACTGAATCCCAAACAAAATCCAAGTAAGATATTTTGGGTTTATCAACAGGTTGATTCTAAAATTTATACGGAAAAGCAAAGGACACAGAATAGCCAACACAATATTAAAGGCAACAAAAACAGAGGACTGACATTACCCAACCTCAGGGCTTACTATAAGACTATAGAAAGCAAGACAGTTTGGTACTGGTGAAAGAACAGACAGAGATATCAATAAAAGAAAACAGAAAGCTCAGAAACAGATCCACACTAATATACTCAATTAATGATTCCCAAAAGAGAAAAGGCAATTTAATGGAGATAGGATAGTACTCTCAAAAATGGTGCTGGAATAAATGGACATCTACATCTAAATAAATCTAAACATAGACTGTATACCTTTCATCAAAATTAACTCCAAATAAATCACAGACATCAATGAAAAATGTAAATATGTAAAACTAATAACACTGGAGAAAATCTAAGTGAGCTTGGGTTTGGTGGTAACTTTTTACAGACAAATATAGGGATTCTCTATATTCAAATTATACTACAAAGCTATAGTAATCAAAACAGTAAAATATCAGCACCAAAAAAAAAACCACATAGACAAATGGAACAGAATAGAGAACCTAGAAATAAACTCATGTATATATGGGCAACTGATTTTCAACAAGGACTCCAAAAAGATACAATAGGGAAAAGATAATCTCTTCAATAAACTGTGTTGGGAAAACTGGATATCCACATGCAGAAGAATGAAACTAGAACAAAAACAGAGGATTGACATTACACAACTTTAGGGCTTACTATAAAACTACAGATGTCAAGTCAGTGTGGTACTGGTGAAAGAACAAATAAAGAGATCAATGTAAGAGAACCAGCAGCTCAATTTTTCTGTAAAGCCAAAAGTCTAAGAAAGTCTATTAATTAAAGACATATAATATATAGAAAATAAATGGCAAAAGTAAGTCCTTCATTATTAGTAATAATTTTAAATATAAAATGCTTAATTAAAAGGCTCCAATTAAATGGCAGAAATAGCATAATGGGTAAAAATAAAGGATTATCTACAAGAGATTCACTTTAAATGCCAAAAATAGGTTAAAAGTAAAAGGATGGAAAAATATATTTCATGTAAACAGTCATTAGACCTAGATGAAATGGACAAATTGCTAGAAACACAAACTACTAAAACTGACCCAAGAAGCAACAGAAAATATGAACAGATCTATAGAAACATCAGACAAAATAGACTTTAAATCAAAAATTGTTACAAGAAACAAGTGCATTATATTTTCATAAAAGTACCAATTCATAAAGAAGATATAACATTTATAAGCATATATGCCTCTAACAACAGAGGCTCAAAATATACAAAGCAAAAATTGACAGAACTGATGGAAAAACAGTTTTTCAATAATAGTTGAAGATATCAATATCCCACTTTTAATAATGAATACAAAAACTAGACAGAAAATCAATAAAGAAAATAGGACACTTAAACAATACTAGACATATAGTTCATATAAGATGAACACAGAATCCTCCATCCAAGAAGAGGATAATACACATACTCCTGAAGTACACATGGAATAGTCCTCAGAGTAGATCATTTTTATGGCCACAAAAATTCCAAAAAGATTAAAATTATGCAAAGTATCTTTTATGACCACAAAAGAATGAAACTAGAAATCAATAACAGAAGTAAAACTAGTATGTTTACAAATATGTAGAAATGAAAGAATATACTCTTAAACAACCAACGGGCCAAAAAAATAATCCATAGGAAATACTCAGAGATAAATAAAAAGAAAATGAAATGAAGAAATTATAGATTGTAGTTAAAGCAGAACTGAGGGAGAAATTTACAGGTGCAAACCTATATTAAAACAGAAGTACAATATCAGATTAATGACTTAACTTCAAACCTTAAATTACCAAAACAATGTTGAACAGAAAGAACAAATTTGGAGGACTCTCACTTCCTCATTTCAAACTGTACTACAAAGTTACAGTAATCAAAATCATGTGGTACCAACATGAGTATAAAAATGTAACAAATGGAATAAAACTGACAGTTCAGAGATAAACCCATACATTTATGGCTTATTCACTTTTAATAAGGGTGCTAATACCATTCACAGTGGAAAGAACAGTCTCTTCAAGAAATCGTCCTTGGGCAACTAACTGGATAATGCAAAAGTATAAGGATAGAGCCACATCTCACACTATATACAAAAATTAGCTCAAAATAGATCTTGAACCTAAATGAAAGAGCTAAAACTACAAAAGGAGTAAATCTTGATTACCTCAGACTTGGCAATAAATTCTTATAAACACTACCAAAAGCATAAGAAACAAAATTTAAAAAAGATAAATTGGATGTCATCAAAATTGAAATCAATTGTGCATCAAAGGACATTATTAAGAAAGTGAGAAGATAACCTAAAAAATAGAAGAATATATTTGCATATCATATATTAATAAGGACCTAGTACCCAGAATTTATAAATAATTCTTACAACTCAACAACAAAAAGACACAAAACCCAATTTGAAAATAAGAAAGGACTTGAATAAACATTTCTCCAAAAAAGATATACAAATGGGCAATAAGCACATAAAAAGATGCTGAACAATACTAGTAATTAGGGAAATGCAAATCAAGCACACAATGCTTCATGTCTCTATTCAATATCATCTATTCTCTCTTATTGGTTCAAGTACACTTTAAGGTTTTCTGGAGACTCAACCATCTATTAAACAGATCAGGGAACAAAGACCCAGTAACACCTGTGAATGCTAATAATGGGTCCTTGAAGTGCTAAAGAGTCTATCTCTGATAAGTGTCTCAGAACTAGAGAAAAACTCTCAATGTTTTTCTGGAGAAGAAAAGAGAAAAGACAAAGAAAATAAGGTTAAACTTCTCTGGTTATCCTTTAAAGCTTCATGCTTCTCAATTGTGTTCTAAAATTTCAAGCCTAGAAAGCCAAAAAAAAAAAAAAAAGAAATGGGAAAGTCAGAATATGGGTAAGTATAATCACACACTGATAGAAGAGGAATCAAGAAGAAAGAGGAGGAAGAAAGAAAGGAAAACAGCAAGCAATAGCATTTGGCATTACAAGGGAGGAGCATCCTGTTGCCACTGGGACTGCTTAAAAACATATGGATAGCTGTTCCTAAGTGCTCATTCATAAACAGACCCTGTATAAATCTAAATTTCTTAGATATGAAGTCCAATTCTTTGTTTTCCAGAAAATATTAGGCCTCCACTCTTCATTATTTAAAAAAAGGACACTAAGCTGAATGATTCCTCTAGTCTATGATATTAACCCATCTCACAATTAGATGTCTTTCCAAATTAAATCTTTGTATCTATAAATATCATGATAGATATTATCTATACTAAATTCCACTTTATAGTAAATTATCATACCAAGGAATAAGTTATTTGAGAAAGCAAACTTTTCATTAAGTGCATGAATCAGGAAAATTTTATTTTGGGGGCTATTAGTACTAAATCAAAGTAGAGATCATAAAATATATTCAGATTTATAGTGTTTATATTATAAAATGCTGCTGGTAATTCACAACATATCTTTAAAATGAGCTATGTGTTCTCAATTTGTTTTCCTTTAAAGAATTTTTTATACTTACCTGAAAATGTAAAGAACAATTCATTTTGTAAACCAGCTCTCTGCATTTTAACATGATGACATTCAGACTTAAGTAAGGAAATTTCACATGAAAGGTCAAGAACCAATTTGCTTAAAATCTGAAGAAGTTTCTTCTCAAAAGAAATATTATAGATACTATTGCAGGGAGCTGCATGATATCGAGCTGTGAACTGGTAATAATAATGAGGCTCACGATACGCTGTAAAAAATTAAGCAGAGAAAGACACAAACACAGTTATTTAAGTAATTCAAATATACATTTCAACTATTCGAGAGAAATCATTATTTGAAATGAATTCTTGGTACACATTTTTACATACAGCTATATTTAGTTTTATTTAACACTTATCTAGCAGTTACTAAGTACCAAATATTATGATAAGCACTCCACAAATAACTCATTTAAATCTCTAAACATCATTTAAGATTGGTATGATTTTTATATCAATCATGAAGAAATTGAGGGAGACAGGGATTATGTCACATGCCCAATGCCTATGCTATCAAACCTAAGATTCTAACCTAAGGAGCCTGGGCCCATAGCCTGTGCTCTTAAGCACTATACTATGCTGCTCAAACTCAATTATGATACTTTCTAAGTTTAAATATTCATCTTAAAATAAATTATAGTCATATAATTAAAATAGTCAAAAAGGAATGTTTATAATAAAACTACAATTAGTTTTATTGAGTTTCAGTACAAAATCTGTAACCAAAAACATGTGTTTTTTGGGCTTTTTTTTTCTTTTTGCCTATCCTAAAATCTCACTGAAATGACATAAGAAATATAAAAAGTAATAGAAATCCATATAAGTAGCAAAAATCAGCAAAGTTCACCTTCCAAAACAGAGAGCCTTATTGCTACTGCTGTCAACCAGGGGCGCAGGGGTGAGGGCACTTGGCCTGTTCCTGGATTACACTCTCAGGAAGAGCGCCTCACTCACACTGAAGTGACCCTGCCATTGTTCACTTTCCTGCCTGCTCATGTAAACTAACAGTAAGTTCACATACTTAGTTACTGTCAATGTTTGCACTCAGGGTATATTCCAGACAGCTTGTAATTACTGAAGAAACCTCTACCAGTTTCATTTATGGACAGAAGTGTAAACCACAGACTCCCACACCCCAACTCTGGGAAAATTCAAGGTTATTAAAGAGAAGAAAGAAAATTAAAAAGAAAGGGAAAAGGACCTAAAAGAAATGTAATGTAGAAATCACTGAGTAAGTTTTAAAAATTCTAGGGTAAAGATGAAATATATATACATAAAACTATTATAAAGCTGCTGCAGAAGAGGAATGATTAGTAAATATAAAAAGTATTCTTGGAAAGTTAAAAAATACAAAAATAATAAATAATAAATAAAAAAAATCTAAAATCTAATCATGTAGAGCAAAAAACAGAATTCTCACATAGCACAGAATAAATTAGAAACAAATTAAAACTATGAGAGCAAAATAAGATAAGGAAGAAAAATCCCAGATATCCAATATCAAAATGAAAGAGTTCCAGAAGGAGAGAACAGACTGGACAGAAAAGAAGTTAATCAAAGGACAAATAGGAAAAACTTTCTGTATGCTGAAGAAAGATTTGGGTTCTAAAAAGTCTATCAAATAGTGAATAAGAATACTGAAAATAAGTATCACATGTAGACATAAATCTTATAAATATATCATGCTTTCACTAGTTCATCTATCAGCATATGTAATGAATACATGTGTAAGTATAAATATTTATCATATATATACAGGCACATATGATTTGTAACACCAAAGATATGTAATATACACAAATACCACATAGAATAACTGAACCTGAGGGGCCAAAGCTGGAAACTGGAGTCTCAAGGTATAACTGGGGACAGAACAAGCGTGTCTCACCTGTGGACTAAAAAAGAGCAACTTTTTCTCTTCAGAAATCCAGCTGAAAGGACGGCATTGCTAGTGTTGTAAATAATCTAACACAACATCCCTGCACACAACGGTATGATGGCCCCAGGGTTTGCTTCTGTCTTGATCACCCAGTGGGAGGGTGGTTAACTTGTTTTACGAGCTTGTTTTGAAGAACTGGAAAAATACTGAACAGATAGAAGACGGCATGTAGACCCTCAGCATCCGCCAGATCACATTCCAAGAAGTCAGAGAAGACCAGCCTACAAAAAACAACTGCTCTGGAAAACAACCACTTCCATTTTACAACAACTACTCTTGAAAACAAACTGCCTTCTGCTATCATTTCCCAATAACAACTTTTCTGCTCTTTAAAAATTTCAATAAAAGCCCAGCCTCTCATTCTCAGGGCCCAACATTTCTTCCTCCTTTTATGCCGTGCCCTTCCCTCCCTTGGAAAGTAAAATAAAACTCACTTCAAAACCTATCTTAGTCTTTGAATCGAGAATTCTTCTCAGCTCAAGGTACATGTACCCACCCTTTTACTGGCCTACATTATGCTATTACCTGATATTGAAAAAAGTAGAAATAAATGGTAAAATATCTCCAAAATGCTCTCAAACACAGTGTGAACCACCTCTCCAGTAGAAGTACACAGACACCCACAACAATTTAGGATCAGCTTATGTGCATAAAAAAATTAACATAGCAGGCTGGAGGCTGCTTGCAGGATTGGCCCTGGGTTGATAAACACTTCCCTACACAGATAGGAATCTTTTCCTTCAGGATAAAACTGCTCTACCCACCTGAGACACTGAAAACCTGTTTGCCCTCCGGGAGTGTGGAATTTTTGTAGTTGCTAGGCAGAGGGTGCCTATGGGCTACTTCCTAATACCCTCTAGGTGATTTTTTTGTTTTGTTTTATCCTCTTGCTTTTCTCCTAAAAGCTCTTTGCAAATCCTAAAGTGTTGTGTCTTCAAAGGGTTTCATGAAATAGACTACAAGTATTCTTAAATTCAGGTTTCTGACAACTTTGAGATCATACAATTACACTGAGTAAGAAATCCAAAAACTCCAATGAAAAAAAAAAGCACTCATAAAATTGAGTCCATCAAACAAAATAAGAATTAATTACATGGGAATAATTGGTCCAGGACTAAAAAAAAATTTTTATGACTTTTATGTTTGAAATATTGCCGATTCTTTTCATGTTTTGTTTTCCAGAGACAAGAAAGCTTTTTTCTTTTAAGTTATTTATAGCTTATAATGATTGGGTAAAGTATACTTTTGTGAGCAAATGTGAAACATTTACCTTTCTCTCTACCTTATTTCTCCATAATTCAGAAACTATTTATAAATATCTTTTATGGCCTTACAGTTATTTCCATAAATTAAATAATAATCTGTTTTCTTTTATAAGATAACACATTTGGAAATGCAGGTGATATTACCAAGGGTTTAATTGGGATGTGATATTTTCAGATATAAACAGACTGCTTTAAGAAACTAAAGATTAACTTTAAGGATCCAATAAGCCCTTGCCAAAACTGGCCTGGTACCTTGTATACAAAGTTTCAGAAAAAACAAAATAAAACTATAGTGCATCTATTATTAGATTCCAGCTCTGTCCATTTGTTTTTTATGTTTGTTTTTTGTTTTGTTTTGTTTTTTTTTGTCTGGACTGAATCTTGAATTTTAGCTTCTTCTAATATCTGGCTACAACTCTTCCAGGCTAACATTTCCAATTTTTCTCCCAACCTTCTGACTTAAAATCACTAAAAATTAAAATTGCTTTTCCTGAATCCCTTTCAGCTAGACAACTTGAAATAAACTTTGGAGAAATCACTACAACTTATTCATGGACATAAAATTCACTGGAACACCTGATTCAAACTGCAATCCAGGAAAACCTGTCATATTGTCACTTCCTGCCGACTCCAACTGAAAATGCTTTGAGCCCAAATCTAAAATGCTCTTATCTGGCTTCCCTCCAAATCCAGAGTCTAGTTTGCAGACTTCTCAAGACATTATCTTTTGTTTGCACAGAAATGCTTCTTATTAAATACTTGTTTGCCTAAAACCTAACTTTCATAAAAGCTTACCTATACCACTCCCTCCTGATATACAATACAACTATTCCACTAAACTGATTATTCTCAGGAATAAGAGACTTGGTTCAATAATGCATGGGACAATGTATTCAAATTTATTCCTTTCTACTTAGTTCAATCTATGTTTTTCTTCTCCCTTTGCCTTATCTTAAAACTTCTAACCTAAATCTCTTCAAAACTAGGAACCTGGCTTTTAATATGTAAACATTTCTGAGTTTGAAAAAGGGGTCTGATGAAAACAAAAATATTTCTTTCCAAAACATCAAGGATTGTTAAGACACTGAAATGAAGGAGAACATTCTGCCTCAGGCTTTACTTGCCTGGTGGCAGGACATAAATCCTTCCTTATGAAGACAGCACTTGCTTAGTAACCCCAAGAAGGCACCAACAGACACCAGAGGAACCTGGGAACAGATTTTACAATCTTCTCATATTTTTTCACCTTTAGAAAACTAGAACTACTCTCTCCATTGTCTTGTCACTCTGCTAAGATTTATTGCTCTTTTTAAAATACTATTTAAGCAAGTTTCCTAACCGATTGCCTTGAGAGAGATACTTTTGAACTAAGGCCTCCCCTAGCTGATGGGTACAGCACACATCAATAATCTTCTGCTGGTTTTATGTTTTTAACTTTTGTTTTCAGCACAGTATCCCAACTAAAAACTTACAAACTTAAAATATATTATATTTTCTTCCCTTCAATTACTAGTACTGTTTGATGCCACCTAGATATGGTGTGGACATATCTGAATTTAAGGACATTTGATTCAAATCCTTTGGTTAATTTAAATAAAATGCAAATAAATAAGTGGAAATTAGTTTAGGTACTCCTGTCCTGGACTGTTTTCCATGGTTTTTAGATCTATGGCAGACAGAAGTAATTATTTCTGTAACTCTTAGGAAGCGCTTAGGAATTATCTACATTAGATTTGACTTCCTCTTTTCTTGAGAATTAACACAGTGTTTTTGAAAGAATAAAGAAGTGCTTTCTGCCAAGGCCCTGTAGTTTACCCACCATAAGTGTAAATATCAACACAGTAAAAATGAAAAATAATATCTTAGTATAATTATAAAATTAATTTTCACCTTAAGCACTGACTGTTTAAAAGGGTCTCAAGGAGTCTCAGGACTACAAAGGCCATAATTTGAGAACCACTGATCTATAATATTCAAAATGCTATTAGAATGCTAATCAAAATGC